ATCGGCATAATGGTAGCATTCGCCAAGCTGAGGTGATTAACATATGAGACGGCAAGTTTTCCACGCTAATACTTTGACTGTGCAAATATATTTCTGCCTTTGTCTATTTACCTGAGGCAATGAAGGTCACGAAAGTTGCTCGAACCGGATACGGATGAATTAACCGACATTCTGTGATAGCAATTGTAGTGCAAATCAGAATAAATATCCTTATACGTGGTTTGGTTCATCCGTTTGTGCAAGTGCTATCACCACAATTGAGAAAACTCCATGTTTCCATGGTGATTCCGCTTCCAGATCAGATGAGGGTGAAATGTTATAAGGACTGACTTACAACCATACACAAAACGTCGATAAAATGGGACGCACACGAATTTCACAATCCCTCTGGTTGCTCAGTTGAAGGGGACACAAGAAGGTCTTTGAAATCATCGTATAATCGAATTTGATCGCCCAAGCGACAGTTGTCGCTATCTGCTTTGATACATGCCGCCTAGCGTATCGATTTCGATTTTTCCATCAGACCGTCACGGTGTGGTCGGTTCACAGTTTCATTCGCCTTCCACACGTTTACATCGTGAGGATTCTAGGCGTGAAGTGCGACGGACGACAGTTAAAAAGCTGAAAATACTCCCTCATTCGGATCGATTCTTTAGTATTGACAGCGAGTTTCTACGTCAGTTTTGTCCACCGTTCGCCGGCTGTCATCCACGCGAAGCCCTGAAACTGGCGAATATCCGCCCAGAGCTGTTCAACATGGTCCCTGTGTACAACTGGGCTCGCAGGGACAGGTAAAATTCAACTTGAGCAACTTTCTTGATATCGCCTTCATTGTTAACCTGTAGTCGAAATTTGTATATGCTGAGAGTGATGGCCAGAAAATATTCTTACGGTTCTCTAATTTGTCCCTTTGGACCAGCAATAAATCTTAAGACGTGAAGGTTAAAATTTAAATGACAGCCTTTACTCAGATTACGAAGAATCGGTCCAGAATTACACTTTAACGAACGTACTTCATGAGGAACATCACTGGATGTGCCTGATTCTACTGAACGATTTTGCTAAAGCTGAAATTGATCATGATGGTAATAAATATCATGCTGTTCGTAGTTCAGATGTCTGAAAGAGCATTGCCAGACAGA